CGCACACCTAATGGAATGGATATGAGCAACACATCTCGAAGAACAACAGTTACAACGGTGAGTAACCGTCTTTTACAGTACAGGAAGATAACAGAAGTGAAAAATGGTTACAACTGCTTCTGTATGTCCCTCTGAGAGTGGGCCTGCCTTTGATGGGGGACTCTTCTTTTGGCAAGTTGAGACTCAGGGCTTATTTCCAAAAATGGTTGTGAAACCAATCTTAGTATATCCTTAGATAATTAAGGGGCAATATAACTTTATTTAAGGAAAGGTGGACCCTGTTAGTTGTTCGTAATAACCAGTTTATAATTGGGCAAAGTAATCAATTGTAATTAAATCCTATGAAACTGAAGAAAATATTTAAATCAGTTACTTAAAAGAAGCCATTTAAGGATCTGGTTTAAGACAGGCCAATTACAAATATTAGGAATCTTAACTCCAATTAAATCCCACTTTTTAGCCCCTGTCTCTTCTCTACAAATACATGGTCTAACCATTTCATAATTAACAGGAGAACTGTTCAAATATTAAATTACAACAGCATTTTCATATTTCAAAAACTATTACAAGATTCTTAAATCTAATCCCTTGGCAGTGTCTCTGTTAACTTTCTCTCACCAATCCATGTTGAAGTCTTGGGGAAGTTTTCCTTGGATTGGTTTTGTTTCTTGAGTTGTCCCTATTTTTTGTAGCTGTCTGTAATAGCTTGCTTGTAGAGATGGATAGGATGAGTTGTGTAGTTCTTGCTGTTTAAGCAGGATAGCAGGGTGTGTGGGGGGAGGGGAAGGAATGCTTACTTGAAAGATTTTTATACACTCCTTATTTCCATGAAATTATAGGATGATACACGTCTTTCAGGCTTGTTTAAATTCAGAGTTGGTGCAGTCACTCTTTCTTTGGCTTCATGCCTTCAGGATTGACTTAAGTCTCACCTTCAGTTCCTGAATAAGCAGTTTGCTTAATGAATATGTAACATTTCTTTACTTGCCTTTATTCTTCTTCTGGCAGGAAAACATCAGATAACTTTTAAAGTTAGTTTTAACTTTTTTTTATTCAGCCCATCTTTAGAGATACTCTGTTTTTATTAGAGTGAAACGGGAAATGAAATTCTGATTTCAAAAAGTCCAAACACTCCTATTCTTTATATAAACTGTTCTTAAGATATTCTTTTCAAACTAAATAACTAGGAGGAAGTTGTTAGCTTAAATAGTTATTACATTTTTTCTAAAAAAACAACAACAATTTTTGGAGCGATGAGTCTTCATTATCCTGATTTGGGTAGGAAAGTTGCTTGAGCTTTGCCAGTAATTAATTTTCCCATTAATATAAATGTTCTGTACCAGAGGTTCTCAAACTGTGGTCCACGGACCACTCCATTCAGGTGGTCTGAGGATAGCTCCCTCTAAGGTGCGCGCCTGGGCGGCCACACAGGAGAGAATGAAGAGCCACCCACCAAATTAGTGGAGCCGTGCAAGTGTGGCTCCACTAATTAGATGCCGGGACCCTGGAGAAGATGCATGTGTAAGGTGAGGTGGTGGCTTTGGAGGGAATTGGGGGGGTAGATGGGAGGGGGCAGTGGGGTGAGAAGATGGGGTGGGACTTGGGAGGAATTTGGGACATGCAGGGCTGAGTCGGACAGAGAAGGAGGTGACTTTCCCCAGCTCCAGGGCTGCGGCTGCTGGGGAGAGACGGCCCTCCTTCCCAGCCTCAGCTCTGTGACCTCTGTGACGGGGGAGAGACCCCCCTCCTTCCCAGCCCCAGCTCAGGGACTGCCACGGCAGGGGAGAGAGGGCACATCCATTGCCTTAGAAAGGTGAGACTACTGATATTAAAATATGAGTTGTGTGCTTTTATTTGTAGAACAAAAAAAGTTTATTAAGTTTTTTTATATAGCGCTTTTATCCAAAGCGCTTTACAATAGTTTGCTAACGGTACAAACAACATTGGGAAAGATCATTAAGTGGTCCACTGAGACCCTCAGCAATTTTCAAGTGGTCTGTGGGGAAAAAAGTTTGAGAACCACTGTTCTATACTTAAGTGGCTTCTTACATATTACAGTAATTAGTTTAGCAAGGTCATTAGATTCCATGCTGATACATAAAACATTTTACCATTTACATAGTAATGATCCTAGGAACTTGGCATTTAACTAACATATTTGTAAGTATACATTTCACAAAGGTGTTTGCATTTCAACATTTAAGAAATAAAAGGATTAAAACATTTTCAACTACAGATATTTTTCCTGGAGTTTTAAAGACACAAGCAGAGATTTTTCTTTTAAAAGAAAGGGGGGTTAGTATAGGCCCACTTTACGCCTAGGTTTATTGCGCTGATAACATATTCCTACATTCCTTTTTGAGATATCCTGGTCTAGACAGGACATTCTTTTTTGGTTTGTTTCTTGACCCAAGCCTTCGCAGACTGGAGCTTGCATCTTATGGCTCTGAGAATGAAAACCTTTCCTGAAAAGCCTGGGGGACTCCCAGGATTAGAAAACTGATTTTCAATTGCAAAATAACATAATGGTTGTTTGTACCTTCTAGGGCAGCAGTTCAAAACAAGAGGATGCTAGTAGGCTTGACAGTTATAGGAGGAGGTATGAAGTGACTTTTAGTTCAAAGCAAAGCATCACATCGGCAGAACCAGAGCAGTGCAAGACCTAGACTGCGTTCCAGTCTACATTTGAAATCTCCAGATTCCCTGGAACAACAGGTTCAAACTCTGGCAAGCAGTGACTCAGCTCTTCAGCTTCCCATGGCAGGTAAATTAAGTACCAGTTGACTGTCTGCAAATATTTCAAACAAGACCTTCAACCCCCTTCTATCTAGATACTAATCCAGCCCTTGTCATCATAGTACACTCCTCCTCATGGAGGCTGTGGGTGTGCGAACAGGTAGTCGAACCCCTAGGAGGGTACGAAGTACTTCCTCTCCACACCCTTAGCGGTGGAAGGGATGGATGCTGGGGTCTGCCAAATGGTCTTGCATTGTCTTGTATAGTTTTGATAAGGGGTAGAGTGACCCTGGATGGCCCTTCTGGTGCCAGAATGTGTACTATAGGTCCTCCGATTCTACCACTTCCTCAGCCTGCAGGTTCATATTTTGTGCCACCCTGTGCAGGGGTTCCTGGTGGGCATGGCTATCTATAGGGGGGGGCCCTGAGATGGAGGTGCCCGCCACTGCCTCGTCTGGGCAGGATGCCGAGGACGCTAGTGGAAGAACTGGGTCCTCCGGACCCTCTTGATCCTCAGGGACCTCCTGCTCTGCCTCTAATTCCGTGCCAGCCACTCCAGGGTCTGGCTCAGGAGTGGGGGTGGGTTCCGGAGGAGATGGTGCAACCGCCAACTCATCTGCACCCCTAGGAGTGGGGCGACTGGCCGCTGCCTCAGGCACTCTAGGCTCGGATCCACTGAGCGTGAGGCCTGGACTGGGAACTCTGGGCCTGATGGTATGCCTATGGGTCCAAAATGGCCACTGAGATGGCCTGTGCCACTGCGCAGGCCATGGCTCTGCACCGATGTTAGGTATGTCCCGCGCCAACTTTTGCCGGGGTCGCTGCTAATATTTGGACCCCGTCTCCGAGTCTGAAGATGGGGCCCAGTATCGTGATGGCCATGGCGGTGCCGAGCGCAGCTAAGCCAGGGAGTGGTGCTGCGAGGCTGGGGAGCGGTGCTGAGACCTGGAACGGTACTGTGATCTGGAGTAGTCCCATGAGCAGGGTCTGTGCAGAGAGCCGGATCGGTGCCGATACAAACGGTGGTGAGATTGGGACCTACTGCGCGATGGCGATCTGTGCCGTGAGTGGGAGCGCTGGCAGGATCTGGATCGATGCCACGAGTCAAACCGACGCCACGAGTGCAACCGGCACCGTGGGTGGGACTGGCACCAGGACTCCAAGCGGTGCTGGGACTCCGAGCGGTACGTCCCCTCCACAGGCTGAGTCGAAGGGCGGATCATCGCTGGCTTTCCCTGGGACGGCGCCGCCCGTGGTGGTATCAGAGGCTTAATGTCCCGATTTTATAGAGACAGTCCCTATTTTTGGGTCTTTTTTTTATATAGGCTCCTATTACCTCCCACCCCCGTCCCGATTTTTCACATTTGCTGTCTGGTCACCCTACTCGGTGCCATCATCGCAATGAGGTCCCTGACGGCCTCAAAGGTGTCCGGGGTGGAAGGCAGTTCTACCTCCTCCACCACCAAACCCAGGGAGTCCAACTGCACCGGACTCGATGGTCCCCCTTGTGGGGCTGAAGTCAGCGGCGCAGGCTCCAAAAGTTTTGGCACTGGGGTTCCTCCCTCGGATGAGCCCCGTTGGCCGGCTCCGATGGGGTGGGTCCTAAAGTGGGGGAGCCACTTCTCCCTTGCTTCCAGTGCTGCTTCTGCGCTGGTGAATGGGATCGGTGCCGGTCCGGTCCCGCCATCTTTGGTGCCAAGGAGTGACGGTGCCACGGGTCTCTGCCAAGTTCATCTCTCACCAAAGCAGATGTCTGCACCAGGGTCCCACTGCAGACAGCTTGAGCCTTCTTGTCTTTGGGCTATTTGGGAAAGCTTAGCCTTCAGACCAAGTTAGGGCAGAAGCTTACACGTGATATTCTCAATAGAACACAAAATAGTTTCTGAAGAAGCTAGTTTGGGAGAAGCGTGATGACTCTGTATAGTCTGAAACTCCCATAACAGTAATACCTCTTTATGTTTCTAGTAGGCCCACCCTTCTTCCTTATCATTGGAGCAGTTTAAGGGTTATGCAGCTTTAATTACGCCACTATTGTTAAAGTGGTTTCCCCCCTAGAGCGGATGCACTGGTATTAGTACAGATGTATTTCTTCTGATGTTGCTTATTCCCCTTTCTGCACAAGAATAACTATATTGCTATAAAGCACTTTTTATGCCTGTATAACTGCATCCACAGTAGGGATTGGAGTAGTATAACTATTTTGGTTAAAAAAACCAAACCAGCCCTTAACCAACCTAGTTATATCAGTACAAAAATCTCTGTATACACCAGGCCCTTATAATACAATTATAGTTTGGTCCATGAGCCTGAACATGGAATGGCAAGTGGACACAGAAGAGGGTGGTGGAAAAGAGTGGGCATGCTGCCAAGTCTTTTTTATTGGAAGACAGAAGAAGGGGAGAGGGAAGTCTGGTTTCCAGCTCCACTTTGTTACACAGAGAATATTATTTGGTTGAAAAGCTGATAGCATATTTCATTTTATGAGGCTTGAGGATCTCTCTCTTAGGAGTATGGATCAATACAATTTAATGAGAGTACTCCATCCTGGATTGTTTGTTTTTGATGGCTTGCATGGTATTTCAAAATGGCAATTTTGTAGCATCTCCTAACTTCTCTCCCCTCCCGCGCCCCCCCCCTTTTTTTCTGGACAGTGTTTTCAGCTCAGGCTTTTACATCTTCCACAGATTTTCTGTTCTTCCCTCTTCTACAGGTTGTTTTGGTCTCCATGTCTAGTTGTGCATTGTTTTCATAGACTTTGGGCCTCTCAAATGCTTCATCATCCTCACTGTGTCAGTGTTATCTGCTGTGCTTGCCCCTTTGCTTATAACATATATCACATTACTGCTTCTTTATGGTTTCTTGCAATCTTTTGTTATTTTCATTAGTGAGCGATCCGAGGCAAACAGACACTGTTCTGACAACTTGGCATCCTTCATATTTTCACCTATCCTGTCTCTTATTCTTTTTAAGGTCCTATATTTGTTCAACAAGACAGAATTGCAGTTTTAAAAGCCTGAGCTGGAGGCTTATTCCTGGAATCACCATTTAAATTTGCCCTTCCATTGTATAATATTGTACCCCTATGAAATAGGGATGGACCACTGTCATCTAGTCCCCCCCCCCCCCCTTGAGTTGAAGGACATCTAGAATATCACCTGCAACATCACCCATGCAAATATCAGGGCATGTACCTGGTATTGTGGTTTGTCTATTAAATTGACAGGCAGCTGGAATGTCAAATCTGCAGGTCTATCTGCCAGAATTTCTAAATCCTGGTCCTCTCTGGGAACTGACTGACCAATAACTCTCCACTGTGATGCCTGAACAACTCCTGTGCTGGAGGGTCCTGCAAGAGGGCACAGAACTACTATAGCCAAGGCCAGGTCTGCACAACAAACTTTTGCCACCATGGCTGTGATTTATGACTAACATAGCTGAGCCACCAAAAGCCCCTGCTCTGATGCAGTTATTTCAGCCAAACTGAGCTCTTGCTGGGTAGTTTATTTTGCTCAAGATGGCTGGAAAAGGCTACACCCGCAAAAGAGCAGTTTTGCCTGTATAAGCTGCCTCCACACTGGCAAAGCCTACATATAGCCCTGGAGCAAGTCTCTGTGTGTGGTGGGCTGGTAGAGCCACTCCAGAGGAGGAAAGTGAACCAGCCCCAGGTGCTCAGTGTTGAGGAGGAAAGCCAGCCTAGGGTTCACCTCAATCAGCTAACATGTTAAAATACAATTTACTCCATCTGTGCTGAGATTTAACATGTTAGCCAACACGTTTTAAAAAAATATATCTGTTGCCCTACTGTAGCCTTTAGACAGCTGCAGCTCTAAGCACCTGACGCCAACCATCCAATTACAAGTGCTCTATATTGGTTTCAGGGTGTTTTTTGTTTCTGAGGGTGGTTTGTTGTAAGCATGTTATCTTCTGCCCTGGACCCACCTCAGTCCCCAAACTTTGCCTTTGTGGTAAGAGGTTCCACTGCTGTGTTTTGCGTACAATAAAAGGGGCTTCATAAAGAATCAATAATTATTTGTGCCACATATAAAGTTGATCTCTACCCCTGATCTAGAGCAGGGATCTCAACCTCAAATGACCACAAGGGCCACATGAGGACTAGTACATTGGGCCGAGGGCCACATCACTGCAACCCGCCCTCTCTGCCCCCACTCCACCCCTTCCATGAGGCCCCGCCCCTATTCCAATCCCTTCCCCAAATCCCCGACCCTGCCCTGGCTCTTCTCCGCCCCCTCCCCTGCGCGCACAGCTCCCCACTCCTCTCCCCTGCCTCCTGGAAAGGAAGCACCTGGAGGTAGGCAGAGGAGCGGGGATGCAGCGCACTGGAGGGGGAGGAGGGGTGGCGGGGGAGGGGAGCTTGGTGGCTGCAGGAAATAACTTGGGGGGCGGGGAGCTTGCCGGGCTGCTGCTAATAACTCTGCGGGCTGCATTGCCGGGCTGCAGCTAATAACTCCGCGGGCGGCATGTTTGAGACCCCTGGTCTAGAGCATGAGATGTAGAGAAGAAACGGAAAGAGTAGCCGGTTGTAGGGAATTGGTGGACTAATGCTGGATATTGGGTGGGCCAGACATGGAAAGTATCTTATGGCGTAGGACCTGAAACACAAAGGGAGGAGCGGCTCTGATCAGTACTTTAGCTTCTAAATGGAAAGGTGTGAGTGATAGATTTCTTTGTGATGGTAGGATTTCTGGCTCCTAGTTGAAATTGAGGGAGTCAAAGTTGGTATATATTTCCAGACTTTTTGTTTAATGGGAAAGTGGTTTAAAAACCTTTATTTCCAAATTACGATTTTTTAAAACCTTAAAATTTGCTAACTTAAAAAATAAGTAGTTATTTGACTAGGTTTTAAGATTAAATATTTATTTACATAGTTGTTGTCTGGTACTTTCATTTGAGAGTTCTCCCTCTTCCTTGTAAATAATCTTGATGTTCAAGAGTTGTGTAATGTAGTGAGTAACATATTGGTCAGTTAATTTTGATGCACTAGCTTTCACTGATGCAGAGTGAATGCAG